GTAAAAGATACGCAACTAACCATGGGAAAGAGTCTTCTGTATAAGTAGAAGTAGAAGCTTGCCTGCAGCAGAGCTTTACAAATCGACCTACCCCGCCCTATTGCATGATTAGGCGGACATTTCTTGCTAACTACCTGGACTTTTTTTGCAGCTAACCGGTTTAAGAGTTGAGTTGATTCAAGAACCGACATCACAGCACTCGGGGCATTCGCATAAGCGTTCCGCCCCTATCGTCAGCAGCCAGTGCAAAATTCCAATGCCAGTCCTACCAATAGCAGTCTGATTATACGTCCTTTTTGCCTTTCCTTTGAGCGCTGAGTGCCGGACAGATCCCTCGTCACTCCTGGCTCCATCTGCTCCCCCATACTGTATACGTGCTCCCATAAGGCTTAACCGTCTCTGCCTTATCACGCATCAGCATTCCACCATGTTGTGCAGAGCAAGCCAGTCTGTCCGCCTGTGCATTTCCCCAACCACCCGCATTGTTGGTACTCACCCGTGGCCTTCGAAGCGAAGCACGCATATCCTCACCTTCCTCAGCATTCTTTCTGAGTCCGTTACAATCACAATGTGAGCATTAATCTTTTTTTCTCTTCTAGTCATTCTAGTCAACGGAAAGATGCGGTGACCGCCTCCACCTCTATTCTTAAGCTTGATGTTATGGTATCACATGGTAGGTTTTTCCGTACCAAATGTTGAACATTAGCTTTTGCTAAGAAACCCGTGTACTTTATCTCTTCTTGACACTGAACCGTCGGTATAAACAACAACCCCCTACCCAGCGTGTAAAATGGCTAAGCTGCTCCCACCCCCAGTGTATAAAATTGTCCCATAAGTTCCGGCTCTCCTGGAGCAATGTCACCACGGAGACGCCCCACCCCCCCCCCCCACCCTTTTTTTTCCACATTCGACAAAGTTCTGGGAAGTTCCAAACTTATAGTAAAAATCAGAAGTTCGAACAGGTCTACGGAAATTCCCGTTTCGTTGGGCCAGTCCACTGCCTTCTCTAATAGTTGTACGGTCTGTGTTAATTTTTGTAAACTCTTGCGGAAACTTCTGGTTGTTCATCCACTTCTTATGCATATTTGCAGTTGTACGGTCTGTGTTAATTTTTGTAAATTGGCTTTTGCTTCGCAAACACTGGCTGTAAACTCTGGCAGAAACTTCTGGCTGTTCATCTTATTCTGGGCTTTAGTCTTGTTCTAGACAATTTTGAATAACGAGATCCGGTATCGATATGGGGATTTTTGTGTTTGATATGTGTATGTTGCTCAGCGATTTGCAGTTATATGGTCTTTTTAAATTTGCTTTAATTACCTTTAAAATAATATACCATTCACGATACTTATACGCGTTGTTGCATGCAGTAATTAGAAATATGTGTGATGTATTTTTAAACAGTTACCAAAAAATTCGCAATGATAAGGAATTGATTTCATCCAACCAGATGAAACTGGACAAATTTGTTTGTGCTGTTTGTACCTTAAGGATACATATTTAGTAGTACTATAAGTACTGTCATGAAAACTACTCTGGGTGAAAAAAAGTATTGCACGCATCAATTTCATACTGATTGTGTTTGTTTACTAATTTAAAAAAAAACAGTATAATTATATGTTGTAGTAGTCTACTAATAATAATAATAATAACCATCAATCATTTATGTTATGTATGACATGTGTATGTTTCATAGCAGTATTTTTATGCGCTAAATTTGATAAAGTACAAATGTCACCCCTTCCACCCCCCCCCTCTGGTGCAACAATAAACTCTCAGAATCAAAGAGTTAGCACTGATATTTCTTTACTTTTGCTGGAACAACTTTTAGTTTACATTTAAACGTTATTGATGTTTATGTTCATGTTGACTGTAGCAAAAGAATTTTTGTTTGTCTGTAAGAGCTTTTATTGTTATATTTATTCGGCACACTTATTTACCTTTAAAATGACGTATAGTTCTAAAAAAATATGTAGAAATTAATGAAACTGTAGTTTAATTTGCGTATACATCTCCTCGATAAAAAACTGTGGACGCAGAGGGACTCAATTCTTGCACAAGAACGGGAATTCCCGTTCGAGCTGTACGGCCTTATAAATCTGGAGCTGGCCGTGACCAGCCAGTGTTCGCGAAGCAAAGCAAAAGCCAGTTTACAAAAATTAACACAGACCGTTCAACTGCAAATATGCAAAAGAAGTCGATGAGCAACCAGAAGTTTCCGCAAGAAATTACAGCCAGTGTTTGCGAAGCAAAGCAAAAGCCAGTTTACAAAAATTAACACAAAAATTGTGAACACAGAGCGGTTCCTCCCCTTCCCCGAGGTTTCACAAAACGGGAATTCCCTTCGAGCTGTTTGGACTATAAATAGCTACAGTCTGACTTGTCTCGAGAATACTAAGTTCCTCGAGGGGATTTAGGGAAAGGGCTAATCCTAAATGAATAGCAACTAATACTAAGCCACGCCCTTCTCTAATTAATTTCATAATACAAATCTGGAGCTGGCCGTGACTAAGCCTAACCACCCACCCCCTTTAATAGGATGGTCTGGGGATTTCCCTTCGAAATCTCGAGAGCGCCAAGATGTGGTGAAACAACAGAATAGTACCTTTGAATTCTTTTAAGCTGAAATGCTGTAAAAAGATTCTCAGAATATCTTGAACAAAGAAGAGAAGAAGTACTGACATTTTGAAAGATCTGAACATCAAGGAAGATTGGCTAATAAACAGCATCCTTCCTCGGAAGCTTAAATATTTTGGTCATATCAAGCGCCACGACGGATTGGAAACAATTATAGCAGAAGGCGTGGTACCAGGAAGGAGGGGGTAGGAGCCGACCGACACGAAGATGGGCTTGAGTATGAAAGTATATGAAGCGGGAGAACTGGCGAGAGACCGAGTTAATTTCAGACAAACAGTGATGAGAGCGACGTTCTGCATAGGACCTGCTCCATGATGATGATGATGACCTTTGAACTATATCGATGTTTACAGAAGATTGGCAGAAGATTTAATGACGGCCGTGTTCGCAGAACAGCGATCGGGAAAGTAAGTTGATATTTTTAGCGGCAATTCGTGGAATTCCCGTTTTGACAGCTCTTTTAGTGAAACGTTTTCTCACTTCTCAGTTCATAAAACTCTCATCGCGGTAGCTGAAGGCAAATTGTTTTCTCGTAAGTTTTATAATTTCTTTAATGTGTTACTACTACATTATTGTTATTTTAGTTAATTAACTATTTACAGCTTCAAACGATATGCTAACATAAGTTTAGATTACCAGAAGTCCACATCTAAGAGTGAAAGGAGTGATATAAAATAATATTCACTAAAATAAAATAGTTAATTAAATACAGACACAGTTGGTCACCATTTCGGCAATTGGATTCTGAACAGGAGCTTATGACAAGATATTGAAGTTATTAACAATAATATTATGCTTGTTGGAGTCAATAATTGACCCGCCCAGTCTGGACATCATTTTAATTTTTACATGTAGCAAATTAATCTACCAATGTCTGACTAATAGTAGTTGTTGTCATAGTGGTATTTTCACATACAAATATCCTGTTGAGAACTACGTGTTATCATTGCTTAGTATTCATATCATAATCGTGTTCTTTTCATAACCTCCATGTCATTGGAGGTTAGGAAAATAATTCTCACAAGCATTCATTACAGAGCCAGTTTTAACATGCGGCTGTGAGTCCTGGACAATTCATAAACAAGCCGAACAATTTCTTGAGGCCTCGGAGATGTGGTTTTAAAGAAGAATCCTCATAATTGCTTGGACAGCTAAGAATAGCAGTCCCGATATTTTAAAACAGAAGGGCTCGAAGAAAACTTATCACAAACTGTTGAATGAGGTAGTCACCTTTGTTGCATGCATTATGAGACTGAAAAGATTTATGAAAAGAGGGTTGAGGAAGACAAGGAGAGAATATGGGTCAGACTTTTCGTTTTGCTATGGCACGAGAGAGTGAGTAACGTTTGACGCCTCCAGGACAGCACGACGAGCGATAAACACCCTTTGACGCAAAGTGCCACTATTCTGATGTAAATCACCCGGGCAGAAAATCGCCTTCAACTGCAACGTTATGTGAGGGCAAATGATGACAGCCGGAATGGGGTTTAAAAAAAAGGAAAGGTATTCTATATTAGGGTGAAATTAACCATGACGTGGAAGAGTGTGGCACATAACGACTTGTGCACCTGCTATGGGTGTGTACAGAAAAACAAATCATTTATATCCTAGCTTTAAATGAATATTCATTAGAAAAGGAAACTGCATTTAGTCTTGGTTTATTTCAAAGGGAAATGCAAAGAGATAAATGCCTTGATGGTTTTGTCATATGGAAAGGGTGGGACAAGAGCACGGACCTGATGAATGATTCCAGTGATCATTTGGGGTGTTGAATCATAACTGCCTGTGTTTATCATCAGAGAACATTTGATGTTGATGATTACTCAGAATAATACTTTCATATCTATGCAATAATTGTTTTGTATTTAAATAAGGCAGACTCAAACAATACAATGCACATTTTATCACCTGGCATATTTCCCTCCTCACGAGCCAATTTTTTTTAGGTAGTAGAAGTAATTCAAACAGCAATATCCTGTTAAACTCATCCATGTTATAACTGGGATACACAAAGTTTTTTTCTTCCTATTTTCAGAAATGAATATTTATGCCTATCAGTTATGTTTGATTATTCAGTATGGCATAGCTTACGTATTATTATATAAGACTGTATGAAGATAGATTGTCCGATTCAATATATGTAAGTGTACTTTTAAACAGTTATAGTAATTATATTTTGTAGTCTAACTTTGCAGATATTTAAAGTGGTATGGGATACCATTATTTTGTCCTAAGGTATTTTAACATCTCATATGACAAACCCATTTTTGCATTTCTGTTACAAGAAAACTTCATTTTGAATATTTATATAACTGATATCAGTGATCTTTGTTCGTTCTAGCTAATTTGATACACGTCTGCCTATTATGGATTTTGGCTCTGAGTACATTCTGGATGCAGAAGAGGAGGAGGAAGAAGCTGAGGACTTTCGTTACCCACAGGAGCCAGGTGAGTGGTCTTTTAAGATTTTTATATATTTCTATGCTGGACTGTCAATTCTGGTGTAAATTATTGCATTTTTATTTTAATGCTTTTTGAACCTTAGCACTCACGCAGGTGATAGGGTTAGATCCCAGTAAGGTATAAAGGTTTTTTTCTGTTTCTGGCAAAAAGCAACAATTGTAACCTGTATAGTCTATGGAGACTGCATCAGCCACTGACTTTAAAACCTCAGGTTAACAACCCACCTGTTCTAACCACCCCATCATCATCATGAAGCAGCTCCTGTGCAAAACATTGGTCTCATCTCTGTCTGCCTGATGAAACTCTCCACCTCATGTAGTTTCCTACCCAAACTGCCACTTATATCTTGCGTCCATAGTTGTGCTGGTTGACCCCTACCCCTCTTTCCTGGCACCATGCTTCTGCTACCCCCCCCTCCCCTTCCTTCCTCCCTACAAAAATCTACCACTTGATGTGGCAAAAATGTTTAACTTTTCAAGACCATCCTCAAAAGTGGTAAAACCAGGTTCCAGCCGCAGTCAAAGCAAAGCTGTATAACATAACATAACCTTTGACCTGTTAGGGTCGTGGAGATGTATCGATGGAAGCACTAGCACACAACACCCGCCATTTTTCTGTCTTCTGCTTGATGAGTAATTGTATGTTAACTTAGTCCTGTCTATTTCTTGATGTTATCATTCCAGATTATTCGTTGCCCTCCTCTACTTAGACTAATCCCCAGTGTTCCTTGAAAAACAGTCTTTGCAATCAAATCATGTCTCACCACATGCCCGAACCAAGCCAGCTTGTGACATTTCACCACTGCCAAGAAAGGCTGCTGATGTCCTACAGAGCTGGTAATCTGGTAATCCTAGTTTCAGCTTCATAGCAAACAGGTCACCCCATACTTGCTCCGCTCCTGTGCCAACAAAAAAACACACGTAGCTCGCAGTGTCATGCCATGCACTCAAATCAGAGCTGTAGGGTACATGCACCGGCTTGTGATGTTTTACCACTGCCAAGAGAGGCTCCTGATTTCCTGCAATGCTGTATGGTACCTGCACCAGCTTGTGACATTTCACCACTGCCAAGAGAGGCTCCTGATGTCCTGCAATGCTGTATGGTACATGCACCAGCTTGTGACATTTCACCACTGCCAAGAGAGGCTCCTGATGTCCTACAAAGCTGTATGGTACATGCAAGACATTTAGACTGCATGATAGTTTTATCAAGCTACTGGTCCCCTGATATAATTATTTCTGACAGAAGAAATGAAAAACAAGAAGTCAAAGATTTTTAAACATGATACAAATAATCTTACACTATCTAAAGCCAGTATACACAAAATCACCACCTATGAGATGAGATGCCTGAGAAAAGCAGCCAACCTAACCAACCTACTGAATAATGATAATTTAAGACAAATTATGTGAACGACACCTAATACTAGATCATTGAGAAACAGCAGATCAAGTGGTTTGGCTATCTCATTAGAATGCAGCAAGATCAAATACCATCACAAGCACTACATCTCAGAAGATCAGCTACAAGAGCAAGAGGATGGCCACGTAAATTATGGATCGACAACATTAAAGACATTCTACACCGTTACAGCAGGACAATAGCCAGTGGCAGCCAGTGTGCACTGGATCGGTAATTATTCCTCCCCATGACTGGTAACAGCAGAAGTGATTTATGATGATGATGATGATGACAAATACTCTTGAGTGGCAACTAATCTGATGCAAATCACCACTGGTTACCATGGACTATGTGGTGCATTACTGCATTACAAGCTGGTAGCATATTCTTTACAGGGTATCGCAAACCAACCTCAACAATTATACACATCTGATTCACTTGTATGCAGACTGTTAGTTTCTTGCCTCTCATGCAGATGCATCCTGACTTTGAAGGAAACACCTCTAATTAGTCCCCTTTTTATAACATAGGGCCCTAGAACCCGCAGGGACCCTTCCAATCTATTCTGTGCAATATTTCAGTTTCATGGATAAAATCCAGTCCAGTGCCTTTGTCCTCTCTCAACAACATTCATCTTAAGAGTTTCTCTTGGACATCCTTCTTACTTCAGTCCATTTATTTCCCATTTCACTACCTGTTTGTGATTCTCTGTCCATTTTTTTCCTGAGGATGTGCCCAATATATCATCATCTTTTATTGTCTTATTACTGATGATACAAGCTGTTGTTCGGACATTAGTTTATGATAACAGGAATTGTCATATTTAGAAACTTTCAGAACATAATTTTGATGACAATAAAGATAAACAATTTTATTTAAGTCCACAGAAATGGAAATCTGAATTATACACCTGAAAAGTTATAATTCATGTTTAAATATTGTTAAATGATTAATTAACACATTTAAGTTATGAAAGATATGATGCTGTCAAAAGTTAGGAATTGCAAGATGTGTATGTATGAGTGGGAGAAACACCAAGCACAAACACATACTTGATGTACACGTGCCTAATAAGTACATGCTAGGACAATATTTGGTCAAAACTAGACGGTTAAGAAACAAAAACATTAATTCCAAAGTTTTCAATTTTTTTTTTTTGGGGCGTTTACCCACCATATTATTTTAGGTGTTTTTTTTTTTAAGTTAAATATATTATTAATTGTGTTTTTGTTTGCATTGTTTGTTCAGTCATCATCATTATGTAGCAAGTCCTTTGCAGAATGTCACTCTCATCACAGTCTGTCTGAAAGAAACTCGGTCTCTCGCCAGTTCTCCCGCCTCATGCACTTTCACACTCAAGGGGTCACTTATATCCTGTGCCCAGCTTCGTGTTGGTCGGCCCCTGCCCCTCCTTCCTGGTACCATGCCTTCTGCTATAATTTTTTCCAATCCGTCGTGGCGCTTGATATGACCAAAATATTTCAGCTTTTGAGAAAGGATGCTGTTTATTAGCCAATCTTCCTTGATGTTCAGATCTTTTAAGATGTCAATATTTGTTATTTCCTTTGTCCAAGATATTCTGAGAATCTTTCTATAGCATTTAAACTCAAAAGCCCCTATTCTCTTTCTTAAGGACTGAGAGATAGTCTACGACTCACATCCGTGTGTAGCCACAGGTAAGATGCATGCTCTCAAAAACATACATTAAAAACCTGGTTTATGTTTATTATTTGCAAATTTATATGAAGATTTCTTTATTTTTACCAAATGGATCGGTACAGTTGTGATATGCGGCCCAGGATAAAAGTAATTTCCCTTGCCATTCATGCCTCCCTAGGTTGCTGGAACTCTTCTATGCTGAAGGCGAGTCATGTCTTCCTTATTGTGAATGCTTTAACAGTTGCCTCTTTTCTCTTCTTCTTACCGCTCGCTTGCGTGAGTATTTTCATGTTCTGCTACCTCCACGATGGTTCGGGACTATAGAAACAATGATATTGTTCTGTTCTTTCGCTCATTGTAACTGCTTTCTTTCTCTCAGGCGTGAGCCACCGCCAGCGAACGTAGAAATATAAAAAACATCCCAGTTTCAATAGCCAAGAATCACCAGGCTTCTTCCTGCGGTACTTCTTACCTGTACACTGGTGCCTTTGGCCCCTGAAATAGACTCACAACAATGCTGTCTTCCACAGACATTATATACTATGAGCGAACACCAAAACCAGGCATGTCATAACACCCCTGCAACAAAGTCCAGTGACCTAAGGAGGAATAAATGGCAAGGCAAGCTACTTTAATCCTGGACCATTTATTGCAACCAGTTTCAATGGATCTTATGTTTTTATTGTTTTTAATGAGAAACCCATGCCTCATCAGCATTGAAAAGCATACATGAGAATATTTTATTGGTTCCAGAGTTTAGCAAATACTTTTGCCAGTTTCAGTAAAATTAAATATTTTATTATGGGCAGACCAGAACAAGTTATTATCCTCCGCCTCAGAACAGGGCACAACCGATTACGTAACCACATGTACACAAAATTCAAGATAGGCGTATCAGCCATGTGCACCCGTGGAAATGTGCCCCAGACAGCAGAGCATGTACTCCAGGACTGCACCGAATTTGACACATTAAGGCCAACCTTTTGGCCAGAAAGAACAATAGTGGAACGTAAACTCTATGGACCACTGAATGAACTAACAACGACAGTGAAATTTATACAAGAGACAAAACTGCTGATATAGACAACTTATTTCAGACGAACGAAAGAAGAAGTAAAATTAAAACAGACTGACATTTTTCTATTCAATTTTTCCCTTTTTTGTCCATAGTTGAAAGAGGTGAAGACTTGTATTATGGTGACTACTCAGGATTTGAGTGTGAAATTATGGACTTGGTGGAGGAGGAGGAAACTGAAACACACAATAACATTAAGGTATGGGGTTCTTCTGATTTTTTAAATCAGTCAGCGGCAAAATAGTGAAAACAAAATTGCCTAGTGAAATCATGAGGAAAGATCCACACAGGAACGATGATATCAGGAGGAGAATCAGCACAGAACCAATACTGAACTTTATAATTAGACAACAAATCAAATGGTTTGGCCATGTATCAAGTTTGGCATCAGACAGGGCACCATTGAGAGCAATGTTATACAGATACAGCAGTAATAGAGCCAGAGGTCGACCACACAGACGATGGACTGAAAGACCCGTTCCAGATATCTCTTCCTGTCCTTACACCATAAGGTATTACAGAAGTAGAGAAAAGAAGAAGAAGAAGAAAAAGAAGAGAATTGCAAACAGCAAAAAGAAATGCTAATGTTGGTGCTCTAATGTGTGGTAAAGGACATGTAACTAACTTTTTTTTTTTCATTATCTGGTATGCCCTGTGATTGATTTTTCTTTGCTTTGTTTTTATGGGCAGAAATAAGTTAAAAAAATTGTCCCTTTTCCACACATTTAGGCGTTTAGGGCATATAGGGCTAGTCCTATATTTTTATAAACCAGTCGGCACAAGATGGGTGATGTGGTCAGCATCAGCCCGGCTGCCTTTACTTCCCAGGACAGCACCCTGTACCCACTCAAGGCTGGGTCGACCTGCAAGTCAAGGTCATTTTTGAAAAAAGTCCGGCTCTGCCAGGGAGCAAACCCCCAACCTTCTGATCACCTCACGAATGTCTAGCCGCTACGCCACGGTGACTCCCTATGAACAGAAATGCCTGTGAATAATTTTTATAAGTTAAAATTGAGAAGTGATTAAGCAAATGAAAGTAAAGTATGGTTTTTATGCCATATTGTCTTAGACCCTTATTTTAATAGATCAATTGGCATTCACTGGGTTATGTGAGCCACCTTTACTTCCCAAGACATATCCTGGTACCCATTTTACGCTAAGTGACCTGGTTGCCTTAGGTAAATTATAAAAATCCACACTATGCAAGAATGATGAAAAAGGAGCAAGGAGGAGGCAAAAAGATAAAAGCTCTATGACTTAGCCATGTAGATGGAGGTGAGACAAGGGCACTTACTTGATCCATTATTCTGGTGATCATGTGAGATGGCAAAACTTGACTGCCTAGCTGAAGGACAAGGTACCTGATGATGATGATGATGATGACTCCAGTGCAGATGTAAACCCAACACCTTTGGGCCAGCAGGCAAACATCTAGCCACTATTCTATAACAGCCCGAGTGTGGATGTGAACTTCATGAATTAAGACATTTCTTGACTTTTAGTTAGTTAGTTAGTTAGTTAGTTAGTTAGTTAGTTAGTTAGTTAGTTAGTTAGTTAGTTAGTTAGTTAGTTAGTTAGTTAGTTAGTTAGTAGTTAGCTAGTTAGTTAAGTCAAGAATTGACATCACAGCACTCAGGGCATTCCCATGCATGCTCCATCCTCTTCTTCAGCAGCCAGCGCAGAGTTCCAATACTGATGATACCGGTCACAATTTTAACTTTTAAAAATAAACTAATTAGGTAATCGCAGTTTCAGTTTCACAGCGAATGGGTCACCCCATAGAAGCTCCATTACTGGGCTAATGGTTTTGAGGTTTGAGGTTTGAACAACGGATCATGGCACATGGGTAGTAACCCATAAGTTCTCTGTTCATCTTCTAACTCAAGTCTGAGTCCAAAGAAGCTCAGCACAGTGCACAGGCTCTGTAGCATCAGTGAAGATCCTGAAATACTTTGGGTAGATTTGAACTCCAAATTTTGCCTGGGCAATGAACACTGGCGTCCGATCTCACTACCCAGAGACCAGGGGGAATTACTAGAAGTCCAATTTCACGTGAAAAAATCCCAGTCCTTATGGGGGATTGAACCCGGAACCTCTAGCATTTGAGGCAGGCACCATGCCTCGATACCACGCAGCTCCTTCTGAGTTTATGAAAACCACACAGAATGTCCATCACTGTCACTTTTGAAAAAAGAAAAAGGAAACAGACTGCAGTCTCAGCAGAGCCAACACCATACACATACATTCAATGCATAAGGTGGTTGTCAGAAGTACCAACACAAACAGTCCTGCGCTGGAAGCACAGTTTATCGTCGATTGAAGCAGGAATTGTTGGTTTGGACATCTAACCAGGATGAAAAATGACCAAATAACATCACAAATTTTCAACCAAAGAAGCTCAGGATATAAGGCAAGAGGAAGACCAAGGAAACGGTGGATTGACGGGGTCTCCGAAACCTGCCAAAAGCATGGCCTCAGAACATCAGATGCTGCCCGCCTTGCTTATGACAGGAACTTGCATCTCCCCACAACGCTTAGCGGCATACGTGGAAGGAAAAAGTAAAAGTAAAGTAAGAAGCAGGAATTACCAAGTATCAGTTGTCGCACACACAATTAATTGCATAATGTACAACAGACCACTCAACTTTTTCTGCATCTGCAGTTCACAACACAAACCATTTTAAGCATGGTCAAAAAAAACGTTCTAAATTAAATCTGCAGCTCACAGTGTTTCACCATGCACTCACCTCATTAGGTGGTTGATGAAACTATATAATCTCAGTCTACATATAAGGGAAAATTCAATGGCTACTATTGTTTGAAGCAAAAACTTGCCACGACTAAAAACAGTAAGTCTGCCTATCCACCATATCAATTGGAAGTCATGACTGACTTCTTCTTCGTGTTAACCAGCTGTAAACTCTGGCAGAAAGTTCTGGTTTTTCATCCACTTCTGGACTGCAGTCGTGTTCCAGATCCTGAGTGTTGCGTGTGCATCCATTTTACAGATCTGACTAATGTGTATGCAGACTGCTGGTTCCTTGCCTCTCAGGCAGATGCAACCCGACCTCGAAGGAAGCTCCCAATTAGGCAAATCTTACGACATGCTTTTGGGTAGGCAGTGGGTCTATTCTTGTTTTCCCCACAATAGGGCCGCGGAACCCACACGGGGAAGGACTGCCTTATAAAAGCATGTTTTATTTGTCTTCATTAGGGAAAGAAAGCCACCACCAATACAGTCAAGCTAGAGATGAAGAAGCTTCAGGAGGAGACAGATTTGAAAATAGAGAAATCAAAACTAGTGAAATGTAAGGGTGATTCCTGCGGGGCTGTTTACTCACATCTTTCCAAGAAGGATGAGGAGAAAAAGGTGCTTGTGTATTTTCATTGTTAGCTGGGTATAGCCTAGGTCTTTCTCAGATATTTGTACTGTGTGGTGAATTTAGATTTTACTATGTTGAGCTGGTAACACACCTTATGTAATAATTCTATGTGTGTATAGCTAATTTATCATGCCCAATTACTTTATTCAATGGTAAACTACATCTTTGGTGGCGACTGTTGGCTTTGGCATCTCTTGCAACTGCCATATTTACTGCGTGCACATTTTTCTGGATTGTCCAAGACTAATTGTAAGTTTACCAGTTTTTCAGACCACACAGTGAGAGACATTTCATTTGATTTTTACTGGCACAGGAAGGGAGCAAATATGGGGAAGCCCGATTACAGGGAAGTTGAAACCTCGACTAAGACCAAGACTTTATTATGGTGTTAACTTATAGGTTTGTTGTATTTATTAGATGTCAATCTTTCTGAGATATAACTTGTATTTGTTAGATACAGTTATTTCTGATGTATTTGTATATATATATATATTTATATATTAAGTGATATATAGTCCTTTCTGAGATATAACTTGTATTTGTTAGATATAGTTATTTCTGATGTATTTGTATATATATATTTATATATTAAGTGATAAATAGTCCTTTCTGAGATATAACTTGTATTTGTTAGATATCGTTTTTTCTGATATATGTGTATTTGTCAATCTATTTGAGTTATATGTTGTATTTGTTAGATGTTGATCTTTCTGAAAAATATGTTGACTTGTTACATTTAGATCTCTCTGATATATTTTTGGTATTTGTAAGATGTTGATCTTTCTGAGATATATATTGTATTGTTATATGTCAGTGTTTCTGAGATATATGTTTTATTTGTTTGATGTTAATCTTTCTGAGAAGTGTGTTGTTTCTGTTGATGTAGTTCTTTTTTTAGATATATGTTGTATTTGTTAGATGTAGATCTTTCTTAGATCATTATTGTATTTGTTAGATCTTACTGAGAAGTTTGTGCTGTCTGATTAATGTAGATCACACTCACAGGTTTGTGATGTTTGTTTGATGTAGATTTTACTAAGATGTTTGTTAAATTTTTTTTAATGTAGATCTTACTTAGATATTTGTTCTGTTTGTTAGATGTAAATCTTATGGCCGTTTGATCCTGTTTTACTAGATCATTCCGACATGTGTGTACTGTTACTTGAATCTAAAACTTACTGACATATTTGTTCATATAGAACTTTCTAAGACAGAGAGATAAATGAAGACACTGACAGAAGATTCTTGACAGCATTTTATCATGGAACATACAGATTTCAGCATAGGCCACCAATCTCCATCTGTATTCCCTGCACCTCCACAACATCATGATTCCACCAATTCTTAGTAGACAAGAAGATTATTATGGCCTAGAGAGAATGAGGCACTTGGGTGTAACCAGAGGGTCTGGCCAACTCACTACACTCAGAGGAAAGGCAAGACGCTGTGATGTCAATTCTTGACTCAACTCAACTGAACTCATATTTCAACACACAAACTGACTGTGGGATGTGGAGAGACACGTACACCCATACCATTTGATAGGGCACTTAATGATGACGATAACATGAAAGTAAAGGTCCCTTTACATGCCAGTGGCACACTGGGCATATAAGGCTAGACTCATATTATTATAGACCAGACGGCACTCAATGGGTGATGTAGCTGGCCACCTTTGTTTCCCATGACTTTACCTGGTACTCATTTAAGGCTGGGTCAACCTGGGAGCCAAGATCGTATTTGAAAAAAAATCCAACTGTTTGTGGACTGTGGATTTGGAACCCATGCTCTTAGGATCCACATTCAAGCGTCTAGCTGCTACACCATAGTAGCTTCCAGTGATAATATAATGATGATCATTTCCATAACTTTCCGCAGAGGATTCCTTTGTACATCATCATCATCATGTGCCCTGCCAACTGGCCTAGGCGCTCATGCGTCTCGGTGGATCACGATCCATGGAAGAGCTCTCTTGATGATATCCCTCCTTGTCATTGTTTCAGCCCATCCAACATCATCTCTCATGGTCTGCCTCTACCCGTCTTTCCACTGATCTTTCCAGTTGTCACGAACGATGTTCTCCAATGTCTCTCTTCTCATTTTGTGACCAAACAACAGTGATTGTCTCTTTCTTATTGTTGTAAATAGAGATCTACTTTCATTAGCTTTCCTTTGTACACTTACTTTTAAAATTACCCTTATAGGTATGGACTTGCAACTTCTGCACCCATGAAAATGACTTCAAGGCAGAGCTACCAGATCTGTCAGATAAAAGTGACATCATGTATGTTGATGACACCAGCAACATTCCTGAGTTGATACCACCAGACAGCTGCAAGCAGAAGATCATATTTGTGATTGACACCTCTTCCAGCATGTGCCAGACAAAACCAGTAAGTAAATGTGCATTCACTGAATAAATATAAACAGTTCATATCTCTATTGCCTTTCTCTGCTTAATGCTGTTAGAATCTCTATCTATTGTCTTTCTCTGCTAAATGCTGTTAGAATCTCTATTGTCTTTCTCTGCTTGATGCTGTTGGAATCTCTATCTATTGTCTTTCTCTGCTAAATGCTGTTAGAATCTCTATTGTCTTTCTCTGCTTAATGCTGTTGGAATCTCTATCTATTGTCTTTCTCTGCTTAATGCTGTTAGAATCTTTATCTTTTGTCTTTCTCTGCTAAATGCTGTTAGAATCTCTATTGTCTTTCTCTGCTTAATGCTGTTAGAATCTCTATCTATTGTCTTTCTATGCTAAATGCTTTTAGAATCTCTATCTGTTGACATTCTCTGCTTAATGCTGTTAGAATCTCTATCTGTTGTCTTTCTCTGCTAAATGCTGTTTGGATCTCTATATATCGCCTTTCTCTGTTTGATGCTGTTATATTCTCTATTTATTGTTTTTCTCTATTTAATGCTGTTAGAATCTCCATCTATTGTCTTTCTCTGCTTAATGCTGTTAGAATCTCTATCTATTGTCTTTCACTGCTTAATGCTGTTAGAATCTCTATCTATTGTCTTTCTTTGCTTAATGCTGTTAGAATCTCAATTGTCTTTCTCTGCTTAATGCTGTTAGAATCTCTATCTATTGTCTTTCTCTGCCTAATGCTGTTAGAATCTCTATCTATTGTCTTTCTCTGCTTAATGCTGTTAGAATCTCTATCTTTTGTCTTTCTATGCTAAATGCTGTTAGAATCTCTATGCTGTTCTTTCTCTGTGCTGTTAGAATCTCTATCTGTCTTTAAATGCTGTTAGAATCTCTATTGTCTTTCTCTGCTTAATGCTGTTAGAATCTCTATCTATTGTCTTTCTCTGATTAATGCTGTTATAATCACTATCTATTGTGTTTCTCTGTTTAATGCTGTTAGAATCTATCTATTGTCTTTCTCTGCTTAATGCTGTTAGAATCTCTATCTATTGTCTTTCTCTGCTAAATGCTGTTAGAATCTCTATCTATTGTCTTTCTCTGCTTAATGCTGTTAGAATCTCTATCTATTGTCTTTCTCTGCTAAATGCTGTTAAAATCTCTATTGTCTTTCACTGCTCAATGCTGTTAGAATCTCTATCTATTGTCTTTCTCTGCTTAATGCTGTTAGAATCTCTATTGTCTTTCACTGCTTAATGCTGTTAGAATCTCTATCTATTGTCTTTCTCTGCTAAATGCTGTTAGAATCTCTATTGTCTTTCACTGCCTAATGCTGTTAGAATCTCTATCTATTGTCTTTCTCTGCTTAATGCTGTTGGAATCTCTATCTATTGTCTTTCTCTGCTAAATGCTGTTAGAATCTCTATCTATTGTCTTTCTCTGCTTAATACTGTTAGAATCTCTATTGTCTTTCACTGCTTAATGCTGTTAGAATCTCTATCTATTGTCTTTCTCTGCTTAATGCTGTTAGAATCTCTATCTATTGTCTTTCTATGCTAAATGCTTTTAGAATCTCTATTGTCTTTCTCTGCTAAATGCTGTTGGAATCTCTATCTATTGTCTTTCTCTGCTAAATGCTGTTAGAATCTCTATCTATTGTCTTTCTCTGCTTAATGCTGTTGGAATCTCTATCTATTGTCTTTCTCTGCTAAATGCTGTAAGAATCTCTATCTATTGTCTTTCTCTGCTTAATACTGTTAGGCATCACAGGCATGGCTAATGACTGAAATGCAGAATAGTGCTTGCTCGTTAGCTTGCTGCATGGTGACATTACTGAATTTCAGCAAGCTGTTAACTGCATATATCCATCTTCTTCTTGGCCTTCCTCTGCTTCTTGATATTTCTATTCTTATATTGTATGCTCTTGCAACTGGTGATGCTGGATTCATTCTGACCAGGTGGTCAGACTTTCACCAACAGATGGCTGACAATAATATGCTTTAAAACTGAAGAACTTATTACAAGTATTATACGCTACTGAAAATTGAAATATCAAATAAATATAAATATTCAAATATATAAAGATATATAAATAATATATACATTCCCCGTGTGGGTTCCGGGGCCCTATTGTGGGGAAAACAAGAATAGACCCACTGCCTCCCCAAAAGCATGTCGTAAGAGTCGACTAACTGGGGAGCTTCCTTTGAAGTCGAAGTGCATCTGCCTGAGAGGCAAGGAACCAGCAGTCTGCATTCAATAGAATCAGATCTGTAAAACTGATGCACATGCAACACCCAGGTTCTGGAGCAGGACTGCAGTCCAGAAGTGGACGAACAACCAGAACTTTACGCCAGAATGTACAGCTGGTGAACGCAAAGAAGAAGAAGAAGATATATACATGAATATTGCCAAAAGTACAATATTATAGAGCACTGTTCAAAGGAGTGTAAGAAATATAAAATCCAAAGAAAACCGTTAACTAAAGAACCTGTGCAGTGTGCTGAGCTTCTTCAGACTCAAACTTGAGTTAAAAGAAGAACGGAGCATTTATGGGTTACACCCGTGTGCCATAATGTTAATCCCTTGTTCAAACCTCAAACCTTTTATTCCACAGTTATGTAATATTATGGTGTGATTATCTGAATTTTCATAATACAGTTTATATCATAACCACAACCCAGATCAAAGCAGTATTTGAAACAATACAAATTACATATTTATCTTAAATACATAATTGCACACTATATAATATAACACTAATGTATATTGAGAACACAGTGAACTCAGTATATCCCAGTTATAACCCTGAGGGATGAACAAGATATTTTTTGTTAAAAATCACTACAACGACCTGCGGACTGATTTTCTAGTCAGCAGGACACAGAATCCTAGATATCTCTAAACAGGTCACATTAAGTGAAACTATTTGGCTTAGAAAAAAACCCATTAGAAACTAATCTTCCTGACTATTGAATAAACTTGCAAAAAAAAAGACAATGAAAGTCATGAAAAAACAACAACAAGAACAACAAAAAAACATTACAGATATAGACTTTCAATATAAATTTAAGTTGCATTTCTGTTGGGAGACTGTTAGTGTTGGCACATCTGATGGCTATCTTATGCAATAACTTTTTGTATGCAAGCTTCAAGATTTTGCTAGGACTGATAGGTTGATGACTTATTGTTCAAGTGAGGCAGTGAAGGACATTTTGAGTGATTTCCCTTGGCACAAGAACTATGTAATTAAAGATTTACAATGAAGCTGGAATCTTGACTAATGACTGATGACTTGAAATTAACAAAAAAAGATAGAAACAAGTACATGGAATATAATTTTAGATCCCTGGGTGGGTTCCAGGGCCCTATTGTGGGGAAGAATAAGAGTAAACCCGCTACCTCCCCAACAAGAATGTCATAAAAGTCGACTAAGTGGCAAGGGACCAACAGCCCACATACAAATTAGTCAGATCTGTAAAATGGATGCGCATGCAACACTCAGGTTCTGGAACAGGACTAGAGTCCAGAGGTGGATGAACAACCAGAACTTTCCACCAGAGTTTACAGCTGGTGAATGCGAAGAAGAAGAAGAATTTCAGAAAAGCATATTATTTATGAACTAACTAACAAATATGTGCTAAATGCTCTGTACAAAACAAGGTAATAAAAACTGTAACCAAATCAAATTTGACTATTTCAGATGGATTTGAGCACGGTGAGCCAGACTCTGAGAGATGTCATTCAAAAAGACCACGAGAGACAATACGCCATACAACAACAGTTATTAAATCTGCCTGACCCACCTCTCCCTGCCATAACCAATGGCCCGGTAGAAGTGACACGTCTGCAAGCTATAAAAGCCAGTGTTATTGATGCCATTATCCATAAGTATTGTATTCTCAAACGTCGTTTTTAGGACGTAATTTTTCGTTATTTGAAGCCCCACTCTGGCTTTTGCCAGGGGCCGCAATATAGGCAGGCCATAAATATGGCCAAATGTCTGAACGCGGTTTCTGGGACCTCTCCACGGCGACCCTCATCCGCATGGTGGCACTTTGTGTCATCGGGTGTTTATCGCTTGTGTGATGTCCTGGTGGGGTAGAAAGTCATTCATTCATTCATGCCATTATCAGACTGAGCCAATCTCAGCCAGAAACCCGAGTTGGATTAGTCACATTTCAAGAGGATGTAAGTAATTGCGAAAGAAATAGTTAACAGGGGTTTAGTCTGGCATAAGTAATTTGACTACTTTTCGTCCATGTTGGTGTATGCCCAACTTGGTATGTGCCCTGTTTAGATGCAAAATATTTTGCTTGGTTTAGGACCTTTGTTTAGAATATGACTTCCGCGTGTGGGTTCCAGAGCTCCCTTTGTGCGGAAAACAAGAATAGACTTACTGCTTGCATAAAAACATGTTTCAAGAGTTGACTAATTAAGAGCTTACTTCAAAGTCAGAGTGCATCTGCCTGAGAGGCAAGGAACCAACAGTCTGCATACAAATGAGTCAGATCTGCAAAACGGATGTTAACACATCACTCAGGTTCTGGAACCAATTCTAAATTACATAAAAAGACAGAAAATCAAAAGACAGAAAATCAAAAGTTTTGACTACTCTGAGAGAATACCTTCTGATGCTATACCAAACAAGGCAACTACAAAAAGAGGAAAAGGACATAAAGCAAGAGGTAGACCAAGAACAATATAGGATGATAACATCAGAGAAACTCTACAGCACCACGATGTGTCTATAGTCGAAGCAGCCAGAACAGCACGAAGCAGGACCCTATATCTCCCTTGACACCCGAAGCGGTAAAACAGGACGTAAGGAAAGAAACAACAGAAAGAAAAGAAAAAGCATGTAACACAAGCAAGAACCGGCAGGCTGCTATTTGCTAGTTTTACAACCCTGATATTTCAATAACAACATTCTGGATAGCAATCCAACATGGCCATTCCCAGATACTTTGTTTAACCTTCAAGTTATAACTCAGGAAGGCCTACCCGGTCAAAAAATGCCTACAGAAGTGGGATGTGTCTGGCAAAAGGCGCTAAAAAAGCCATGCTGTAATTAGGCACAACGCAATTATATCTTCGGATAAACGGAGAAGGAGAAGATATAACTGGAGCACTCACAATGACTACACCAACATCACAGAGTCTGCAGTCTTTTGCAGGTAACTTTGATCTTAGCCAAAAGCCATAGAAGTGATAACTTGGAACCAAACGTGGTAAAATTCAAGTAACCTAACCGTTGATGGTGTATCCGACACAGGTGAATGTTTACGGAGATGGCAGTAAATTTGTGACTGTACAAGGAGACCAGCTCAAACATAAAGATGAGCTAGTGGCAATTGGTAAAAAGGAAAGTGACCTTCGACCTGTTCATGAATCTGCAGCCAGTTTGAAAGAAAAAATAGCACTGTAAGTACTAAATATTTGAATTATCATCTTTCACTGTCTCCCTTCATCCCCCTTTCAGCATCTATGGCTCAGACACTGTGATTGCAGTTTTGTTACCTTGAAAAACCACTGTTTGAAATCAGCTGTGGGTGATCTGGTATCAAAATATATCGTTTTTGATAACAGTATAAATGTCGTACCACTCATAATGCGATAACAGACTACTGAAAGTACAATGGTGCTTTATTAATATCCTACCCCAGATGACGTCACAGGACAGTTCAACATTTTGTGACATAGTACATCCATCAACAACAAACTGTATTTCTGGGGGTGACTGTTGGCTTTGGCACCTCTAACACTGCCAGTTGGCTACACACACATAAAATTATTGCATAAAATATTTTACCATCCCATACATAAACCAACTATCTGGCATACTGAATACAATGACACAACCGCTGTACAAATAAAAGGTATTCCACATGAAAAAAAATAGCAATAGCTCACAGTGCTGCACCAAGCACTAAACTCAGTAGCTCCCATCCCACCTGGTGAGCCAGAGCCCCATTAGCCTGAGATCATGCTGTTTCGGGTGACAACTATATGAAGTACACAGGGTTAAGAAAAGTATATTCTGGCAGGAGAAACCAATGAACACTTGGGACTTCATGAGTTGAGCTGTTAGCTTTGTGCTCTGTTGTGGGCTCAGTTTCAGATTCTGTCATTTGGTTCTTGAGTGCAGGTGTTTCTGAGATCTCTGAGGTCATTGTTGGAGCTACAGTGTTCATGCTTTGTGTTACACATTAGGCAGGTGACTAGCAGCTTTTGCCATCTTGGATAAAAGCCCACTACAGTGAAAACAAATGCCAGAGGAAAATGTTAAACATAAAATGGGATGAATTTAAGTCGGGTGAAGAGATTAAAAGAAATTTCTAGTTGATCACTGGCAACAAGTTATAAGACAGAGAAGATGTGCACTATATTGGACATATCTTGAGAGGAAAGAAACAAGAGGAGAATCACAAAGCAAGTACTAAAATGGGAAATAAAAGGATTGTGGAAACAAGGATGTCCAAAAGAAACACTAAAATGAATGTTGATGACAGAGACCAAAGGTGCTGGATTGGATTTCATTCATGATGTTGAAAGGATTGAACAGGATAGAAAGGAACGGAGGAATAGACAGCCAGCCCTACATGACATAGAGTGGCACAACAGAACAATAATAATGATGATGATGACAGGGAAGTTGATTATCTTGTTGTTCTATCTATCTATTGTCTTCTTCACTTTTACCGGGTTGCAGCCCAGTGTCGTGGTTTAAAATATTTGTTTTGTGCCTCTCGCGTGATTTGAGTGACTGTTTTCTTGATCTTCTGGCCGTATTCAGCTACTCCATCTATCCATTTTTTCCTGGGTCTTCCTCTGGCCTTTCTTCCCAATGTTCTACTGTAAAAGGCCTTATAGGCAATCTGATCCGGTTGCATTCTTACTAAATGGCCAAACCACTTCATTCTGTCTTTCAATATGTTCCATGCATGCTCTTGTTCCAACTTTGTCTCTAATGCTGACGTTTGTGACTCTGTCTCTTCGTGTATTGTTGGTGACTCTTCGGAGACATCGCATTTCACACGTAGTTATTTTTTGCATATGTGATTTGTTCATTGTCCACGTTTGGCACTGATAACATAATGTAGGGATTAAATGCTGTTGATCATCCATTGTTTGGCTGGTAATGAGATCTTTCGATGACGAAGAAGTGGGGCCAGTTGGTAGTTGACTGCATCTTGTTGTTAAATGTCTTTAACTTCTGGTTTATTCTCCTGTGTTTTTATAATTGTTGCTAGTGTAGTTTGCCACTAATGGTATTTAGAGTTCAATCTTGTGGCACAGACTTACACTATAATTGAGTTCTTTGTGAAATGGATATCATCATCATGTAGCAGGTCCTTTGCAGAATGTCACTCTCATCACGGTTTGCCTTCAAGAAACTCGGTCTCTCGCCAGTTCTCTCCCCTCATGTTTTTTCATACTCAAGGAGTCACTTATATCCTGTGCCCATCTTCGTGTTGGTCGGCTTCTGCCCCTCCTTCTGGTATCATGCCTTCTGCTATAATTTTTCCTAATCTGTCGTAGCGCTTGATAGGACCAAAATATTTCAGCTTCCGAGAAAGGATGCTGTTTATTAGCCGATCTTCCTTGATGTTCAGATCTTTTAAGATGTCAGTATTTCTCCTCTTTTTTGTCCAAGATATTCTGAGAATCTTCCTATAGCATTTCAGCTCAAAAGCCCATATTCTTTTTCTTAAGACTCACATCCGTATGTTGCTACAGGGAAGATGCATGCTCTCAAAATTCTAATTTTGATTTCCTTGCTGGCGCTGAACCATAGACTTTTAAAGCTGTTTAATCTTTGCATTCAATAGCCATCCTCCTTTTAATTTCTGACAGTCTCCATTGCTATTTATAGAGCCTAGATATTTAAAGCTTTTTGACATTTTCAATTTCTTCATCATTTTTTTTTTTGGGTGACAGCCAGTTTTATCTGTGGACATTATTTTCATTTTCTTTAAATTCAAGAACAGATTTTGATCTTTACTGTGCTTTTGGACAGACAATATTAAATTTTCAATTCCCTTTACGCTGTTCGAAAGGAGGACTGTGTATGGATATACAGAATAATATATCATATTTCATGGAAGCAAAAAAGTCAAATGTGGAGTTTCTGGAAAGACTGAAAGAAAATGGTGTTGCTGGCATGGGCGATTATGCCTCTCCACAGTGTGTGATCCCTAACTGTGTGTATCAGTTCGTGTGTTGACATTGCCTTCTTACCATGAAAAAAAAAGACTTATTGCACTGTCTTCCTATGTTTTTCTTTCCACATATCTTTCCAGTGGTAACATCATTTTCCATTTTCCCTTTTTTCAAAACATGACTAAAAAGTGATGACTGTTTTTTTCTGATGCTTGTGATAAATTGTTTTTGAGCCCTAACCTCTTTCAAAACATCTGTGTTGCTCTTTTTCACTGTCAAAGGAATTCTACATATTCTTCTGTAAAACTGCATCTCTGAGGCCTCAAGATATTGTATGACTTGCTTATTAATTGTCTAGGTTTCACAGCCGTAGCCGTATGTGAAACCTGGTTCTATATAGAATTCTGTTCCTAACCTCCAATGACATGGATTTATTGCACAAAATGTTTATCATTAAACAAAATGCAGTTTTGACCTGTTCAGTTCTGTTATCTCTGTGATACATCTTCCATTGGATGTTTTCCATGTGTCCAGATACTTAAATTTCTGTACTGGTCCTAAACGCCTTTGACTTTTATTATATATTTAGGCACTATTCTTTTCTTTTCTTTTCTTTTCTTTTCTTGGAAATCACTGTTATATCTGTCTTTCCATTATTCAAACTGAGGCCCATTTTATCACTGTCTACCACCACTGTGTATATATATATATATATATGTGTGTGTGTTTATGTCTATGTGTAAACTGGTCAGCCTATGATCTATTTAATGCTTACTTTGTTCAGCTTGGATGAACTTGGTCGCACCGCTCTGGGACCAGCTTTAGTCATTGCACAGACAATGGCTGCTGATGTCGAAGGGTCAAAGGTTATTCTGTGCACAGACGGTGTTGCCAACATTGGGTTGGGGAGGCTCGAGGACATCACAGAAATTGAGATTAACAGCTTCTACAGTGGAATCATTACTGACAGTTTAATATCTGGGTAATTAATGTGAATATTATTATATACTTCTTTTTCTGTCTCTTTTTCTGCTTTTTCTTTGTACCTTTTCTTTATCATCTTTGCATTGTCTTGCTGCTGGTGCTTTTTTTGTTCATCTTTTTTCTTCTTCTTCTTCTTCTTCTTCTTCTTCTTCATCTTCTTCTTCTTCTTCTTCGTCTTCTTCGAGTTCACCAGCTGTAAACTCTGGCAGAAAGTTCTGGTTGTTTATCTACTTCTGGACTGCAGTCAGGCTCCAGAACTTAAGTGTTGCATGTGCATCCGTTTTACAGATCTGAATCATTTGTATGCAGACTCCTGGCTCCTCGCCTCTCAGACAGATGCATTCTGACTTTGAAGGAAGTTCCCAATAAGTTGACTCTTACAACATGGTTTGGGTAGGCAGTGGGTCTATTCTTGTTTTCCCTATAACAGGGCCCCGGAACCCACACGGGGATTCATCTTTTTTAACATCTGTACCCTGGGAGGGTAGAAAAAGACTTCTCACATTCAATAAAGAGCCAGTTTTAACATATGGCTGCTGCTTATCATGGACAATTTTTAAAATAAGCCAAACAGTTTATTGTGGACACGAAGATGTGGTTTTACAGATACAGAGGAATACTTAAATTTCCTTAGACAGCCACAAAAGAGCAACCCATATGTTTTGAAAGAGACAGGGAGCCAAATACAACTTATCACAAACATCAGAAGGAGACAGTAATCATTTTTCAGTCGTGTTATGAGAAGAGGGAAATTAGACCATCCTGTGATCACTAGAAAAACTTGTGGAGAAGAGAAAAAGAGGATGACAGTGTGAGAAAATTCTTGACTGTTTTTTGTTATGGCATGAAGGGGTGTCAGCATATGTACTGATACATACTGTTGGAGGTCACAGGTTGTGGAGAGTCATGATCGCCCATGCCAGTCGACAAAAGTCTGCCTGTAAAATTGATATTATTTTCACACTTTGATTGTTCTTTACCCTATAAATTACTGTAGAACTGATCTTTAAAGTCATGTTCTTCACTTTATGGCCCATGGAAATTTTTGGCGATCCAACCGAAATGTTCTCTCAGTTATGTAGTGGCTACAATGGAAACCAAAAGGATGGAAGCTAATTGAAGGGAAGCTATTGCAGCGCTATATCTCTCAGAAACAGCACTCCAGCCAAGTACTGAAGATAAAATTTTCTAACCTTTGAGCAGCAGGAGAAATCACATTAGCTAAACAATTGTAATTATTAATATTTTAACATAATAAAATGCTGTCTAGGTTTAAACTGGTTTCTTTCTTAGCCATAAGCTGGTCCAAAAAATATTTGTTTCCATTTCCCTGTTTGCAGGTGAAAAAAGGGTAAAGAAAACTGCTTTAAAGGAAAGAAACTTACTTGTTAGTTGTTACTTTTGTGCCTGTATTGACATTCTAGCACTGTGGCTCTCAGCCTGTGGGTCGCAACCTTTTTTGGGTCCAATGACCCTTTCACATGGGTCGCCAAAGACCATTGCAAAACACATATTCATTAAAGCTATAAGTAGCAACAAAAAATAACTGTATGGTTGGGGGTCACCAAAACATGAAGAACCGTTTTCAAGGGTCACAGCATTAGGAAGGTGGAGAACCACTGTTCTAAAACATTGATCTTATCTATTCATGCTCCATTCTCTAATGCAGCAGTCATCTCAGTGTCTATGTTCTCAACGAACCCAGTAGGATTTGGTTGGCACATCTTCTTTCTTCGCCCCACCACCCATTTCTGCATGCCTCTCCTTCTTTAACAACCCTTTCCAACAGGTGGTTCATTGTCTCCTGTCTCAATCTCTTTGGAATGCAGCGCATCAAGTATGTCAGCCCTGTCCGTATTTCTTTCTTCACTAACCACTGAAGGCACAGCCAATCTGTTGGGTGTTTCTTTTCACCCGGGTGTGTCCATGTGTACAGCTAAGATGTCTTGTGGTGAGACTTCTGCATGCTGTCAACCAATTCTAATAGGAGTTTGCCAGTGTAGATCTTCTAAAACATGCTTTTTTGTGTCTGTCACCATCAATGCATGAGTTGCTTTTTCGTTCCACCAACCGTGCAAAGAAATGAATTGAGACAGAAATTAAATACATAAAACAAATAAATTAGTTTCACTGATATCTGTACGGCAAGAAAAGGAACAATTATCTGAATATTTTAACGAGTTGATATTTGGTGTATGGCTGTTAATTTCCTAATATCACTACCATCATTTTTCACTCAGGCAGTCATTTTAACTATGAATTTTTTTGTTGTTCAGTGTTTCAGTCACACTAATTTGTGTGGACAATGCAGGCTTGAATACAAGACTTGGACAAGTTCCGACAGAAACAGGCGGAATGGTTGGTTTTTGTGTGTGGGTCCCCAGCAGTTACTAGGCCTTCTTGATGTTGACTTAAGTTTTCCTTTTGTGGGTTATCAGTCACATGTTGGTGGGGGGGGGGGGGGGGGGGGGGGGATATACAAGCATTTTGTAATAGCTATCTAAAGGTTTGTTGAAATCAGATGTATTGGATTGAAAAGCTGTAAAACATAAAACAAAGTATCAACCGCTCTTCTTAAGGTTAATGCTGAAGAAGAAGAAGAAGAAAAGTAAAGTTTATTTAAGAGTTAAAGTACAGTTTAATTTAGAACCGACAACACAGCACTCATGGCATCCTATTCCTCCAACAAACTCTGCACCGCCATCTTCAACATCTGGTGCAGAGTTCCAGTACGTACCAGTTGTTTCAGCTGCTGTTTGATGATGTTTCTCCGAGGGTTGAGTGTTAGCCAGATCCTCTGGTGAGTCCCCCTTGCACCATTCTCCACAGGCCAATATAACCTTTTAGCTCTTCATCTGCCTTGTCGTGCATCGGTTCACAACCCAGTGATGCAGAACCAGCCAGTCTGTTTCCCAACACATCAGAGTCTGTTTCCCAACACATCAGAGTCTGTTTCCCAACACATCAGAGTCTGTTTCCCAACACATCAGAGTCTGTTTCCCAACACATCAGAGTCTGTTTCCCAACACATCAGAGTCTGTTTCCCAACACATCAGAGTCTGTTTCCCAACACATCAGACAATATACAAAAGATGCTGACCATTTGGAAACCTAAGAGGTGATGCTTGCTACTGCGCAAAGCATATCTATCTGTGCAATTGAGTTTCCAGCCAGAGGAAAACTGGAATGAATGCCTTCACCTCCATTCTCAAACTAGATGTTGTAGATCATATGCCAGGCTTTTTCTCCTCCTCTAAACATTGTTTGCTTTCACTATGAGCCCTGAAGTAATACTTTCCGGCTGCATTTTAAAAACAGTTTATACATTCATTTTTACTTCTCATTACCCTGTTTATCATCATGATCAAATAGCAAATCTTATATAAAACATTGCTGTCAATGCAGCCTACTGAAAAGACTCTAAAATTTTTACCAAATCTTCAAATCCCCTGTTTCATGTATGTTTTTGCCTATGGTGTCTCTAATGCTGTGTACATTAAAAGGAATTCCAGAGAAATTTGACTAAAAAGCTCAACAAAATGGGGAAGCAGTGTACATTATCATGTCGCCTGACTCTTGTCTTTTATTCCAGGAAACACACATTTCATTGCAATTATTTGTAACAAAAATTTGATTTCTTCCTCTTTAGCTGTTGCCTTTTGTCCCACAGTGATGGGTATCTCTCAACCAGCTTCTGAATGTTAGCCTCATTTGGGGAGGTGGTGGGTTGGGTAGGTCCACCACTCCTTAACAAGCATATTGTAAAATGTGACTAATCAGGGTTTCGCTGAAAGATGCTGATATCACAGCCTAGATGTAAACCACAATACAGCGTGGCAATCACCTTTTTAAGTGCGAGCACAGCAGAAGGAGAAAAGCTAACTCCTGCAAGCCATTCTCTTTCTCCTTCTCTTGCAACCTTTTATGCACCTTCTCCCCCATATACACATATGGGTAATATGTCTATCTCTAATTCTTTTTATTTTTTTCAGCCTTTTTCTAATTCTCTGTGTGGGTTCCAGAAGAAAGCCTGTTTACACAAACTATTAACAAACTATAAACTGTAAACATTACTACAGGACAATGTGTGTCCTGTAAAGTGGTAAAGGCTTAGGTAGGTTAAGTGAGATAAGGTCTGGGTAAAACCGTGGCTTATGAAAAATTCTAAACTAATAAAAACTAGTGTTATAGAAAATGCTAACACTTCAAAGCATAGCTAAAGTTTAACAGTCAACATCACACCACTCAGGACATTCACATAAGCACTCTGCCCCCATCTTCAACAGCCAGGGCGGAGTTTCAGTTCCAATAGTACCTGTAATAGTATGATTATATTTCCGTCTTGCCTTTCCTCTCAGTGTGTGTCAGTAACATACCCAGATCATCCAGGCTTCACCATTCTTTTTAAACTGTGATGATCTATTTGTGCTTCTGCAATGTTCACTTACTGCTATGATCTATTTGTGCTTCTGCACCGTTCACTTACTGCTATGATCTATTTGTGCTTCTGCACCGTTCACTTACTGTGATGATCTATTTTGCTGCACCGTTCACTTACTGCGATGATCTATTTGTGCTTCTGCACAGTTCACTTACTGCAAAGATCTATTTGTGCTTCTGCACTGTTCCCTTGCTGCGATGATCTATTTGTGTTCTGCACCGTTCACTTACTGCAAAGATCTATTTGTGCTTCTGCACCGTTCACTTATTGCGATGATCTATTTGTGCTTCTGCACCGTTCACTTACTGCGATGATCTAATTGTGCTTCTGCACCGTTCACTTACTGCAAAGATCTATTTGTGCTTCTGCACTGTTCCTTGCTGCGATGATCTATTTGTGCTTCTGCACCGTTCACTTACTGCGATGATCTATTTGTGCTTCTGCACCGTTCACTTACTACAAAGATCTGTTTGTGCTTCTGCACCGTTCACTTACTGCAAAGATCTATTTGTGCTTCTGCACTGTTCCCTTACTGCAAAGATCTATTTGTGCTTCTGCACCGTTCACTTACTACAAAGATCTATTTGTGCTTCTGCACCGTTCACTTACTGTGATGATCTAACTGTGCTCCTGCACAGTTCACTTACTGTGATAATCTGTTTGTGCTCTGCACTGTTCACTTACTGTGATGATCTGTTTGTGTTTCTGCACTGTTCACTTACTCCCAATGGGTCTTCATCACGTACAGCTTGTCTTGTAACAGTTTACTACCAAATGGCACATTACCAGCCAATTAGTCTAGATGTTCATTTTTCAACACATCTGAATAACCTGGAGAATTTTTTCGGAGTATGTATACTATCCAGGATGTCTGAAGCAACGCTTGCTACTACTTTGTTAGAAGTGATGAAAATATGAGGAAAACATACCTCCTAATCTGCAGTGTTTAAATGCTATAAAAGTTCTTTTCAAATATTTGTCAGCTCGAGAAAATTCAAGCAACAGAACTGGATGCAAAACTGACAGAGGAGCTGAGTAGAGCAACTGTTGCAGTCAACACTGATGTCTCATTCATTGTTCACAAAGACTTGTGAGTATTTTATGAAAATGTCTGTTTACAAAACATTCCAGACATTCAAACATTTTTGTACTCATGTAAAGCAGTTTGTTCTGGTGTCTCCATTGATCTGTAATAACTGTGTGCTTCACCCCAAATATTCTGTGTGTTTGTTTCATATTGTTGGGGTAGAGTTGCTGTCTGTCTTTGAAGTCTACTCTCCTTTAAAACTGTAGAATTGCCTTCTATCTTTGAACTCAAATTCATTTAAAACTGTAGAATTGCCTTCTATCTTTGAACTCTACTCTTCTTTAAACTAGATAGAATTGCCTTCTATCTTTGAACTCTACTCCCCTTTAAAACTGTAGAATTGCCAGTTTGGATCTTCTTGAACTCTACTCCCCAGTAAAGCGGTGAATTGCCTTCAATTCTGTTCTGTCTGTCCCCTTTTTATTGTAAGAACTGCAGTTTGGATAATTACTGAATCTTATACTTGCTCAGTATTGTTTATGAGTTATTCTGTTCTGTGTTTATATTTTACTGTAAATTTTAGTAGGTGATGATATTATGAATCTGTTATTTACTATTGTTTATATAATCTGTTATTTAGTATTGTTTATATAATCTGTTATTTAGTATTGTTTATAAAATATGTTATTTAGTAATGTTTATATAATATGTTTTTTAGTATTGTTTATATAATCTGTTATTTAGTATTGTTTATATAATCTGTTATTTAGTATTGTTTATATAATCTGTTATTTAGTATTGTTTATATAATCTGTTATTTAGTATTGTTTATATAATCTGTTTGTTAGTATTGTTTATATAATCTGTTATTTAGTATCGTTTATAACCTTGAATATGTAAGTTTACTGACTGGCAGACTTTTATGTCTGAAAACAGTCTGTCTTAATTTTCATTGATGTGTTCATATTTTTGGTATAGTTCTGAGTATTTTGACATCTTAGAAATGTTATCATTTAGTGAATTAATAGACTAAAGTGTGTTGAAGTGATTTCTAATTGCATCCAGTATTGGTGTTCTCTGAATTGGATATGTCATCATCATCATCCTTATCCTCATCATTGTCCTGCTGTGCCATTAAATGTCTCATAAGGCTTGCAGTCTATTCTTTCATTCCTTCCTATCCTGTGCAGTCCCTTCGATATCATGGATATAATTCAGTACAGCATCTTTGGCTTCTATCATCAACATTCATTTTAGGATTATTTCTTTTGGCTTTCCTCGCTACCTCAATCCCTGTTTTTCAATTTAAGTGATGTTTGTTGATTCTCCTTCTGTGTTTATTCCATTTAAGTGATGTTTGTCACTGAATTCTCTGTTTGTTTTCTTAAACTCATATGCTCATAAGAATTGAAAATATGCAACTTGATATGACAAATTTACATGTTGTTAGAGTTCCATATTAGTTCGCCATACTTTTTTGTCATGAATTTTCTTTCTTTCTTTTGCCTTGACCATGAAAATTGCAATCTAAATAAGTTAATTTGATCTATTACTTCAATTCTATTTTCCTCTGTTCCTTTTATATCTACTTGATCTGTAATTGGTGTCTTCAGTATTTTTGTCTTTTCATAACTTATTTGTAATCCTACTTCTGATGTTATATTTGAAATAGGTATGTATCTGACACCAAAAACCCCAGTTTAAGGTGCAGCACACATCTCCAGAAACTGGGGAACTTGCAGCTGGACAAGCAAGTCTCTTTCAGCTTTGCCTTCAAACCCAGTAACCCTCAAGAACAACCACCTGCACAACCAAACTCAACAGGTACACTAGTTTTATAAAGGCTGTGAGTTCAAATTCACACATAGATAGATTTTTATAAAAATGACCTTGGCTATCAGGTTCACCAAGCCTAAATTTGGCACTTGGAAATATCCTGGGAAAAAAGGTGGCTAGCATTGAGTACTGATTGGTCCATAAAAATGTGGGTCTAGTATCATATGCTGATGAAGTGACAAGGGTCTTTTACTTTACGTACAACAGTTTTCCTTATATTACCTTTTACTTTATGTACAAGTTTTCCTTACATTACCTTTTCCTTTATGTACAACAGTTTTCCTTGTATTACCTTTTACTTTACGTACAACAGTTTTCCTTATATTACGTTTTACTTTACTACAACAGTTTTCCTTATATTACTTGTAACTTTACGCATAGCAGTTTTCCTTATATTACCTTTTACTTTATGTACAACAGTTTTCCTTATATTACCTTTTACTTTACGCACAACAGTTTTCCTTATATTACCTTTTTCTTTATGTACAACAGTTTCCTTTATATTACCTTTTACTTTACGTACAACAGTTTTCCTTATATTACCTTTTACTTTACGTACAACAGTTTTCCTTGTATTACTTTTTACTTTATGTACAACAGTTTTCCTTGTATTACTTTTTACTTTATGTACAACAGTTTTCCTTATATTACCTTTTACTTTACGTACAACAGTTTTCCTTATATTACCTTTTACTTTACGTACAACAGTTTTCCTTATATTACCTTTTACTTTACGTACAACAGTTTTCCTTATATTACTTGTTACTTTACGCACAACAGTTTTCCTTACATTACTATTTTCTGTTTATATTATGGTGTCTTACTGTAGTTGTTTAAAAATAAATTTATATATAAAAATTTCCACTTTAAACTGGACATTTAAAACTTTGTAGATCTCTTTTTTTCAAACCAAACTGGACAGCTTATCAAATTACTTAAAACATTTTAAAAATCAGATTGAATATTTTTTTAAAGCTAAAATTCAGACATACTGGAAATGTCCAGAAGTTCTGGAACAACAGTTATTTAATTCTTTCTAGAAAGTTCTTTAAGAATATATAATTATGTATATTGAGTGTTTTTCAACTAAGGCAGATGTGGTCAAGGCCCTTTGGGAACAAGCAACCGAATCAGTCAAGATAGAAGGTTATTATGGCCTGGAAAGAATGAGGCATCTGGGTGTAACCAGAGGGTCTGGCCAGCTCACTACGCTCAGAGGAAAGGCAAAATGGACATATAACCAGATTGTGACTGGTACTATCAGGAGTTGAACTCATCACTGGCTGCTGAAGATGAGGACGGAGCATGCATGGGAATGCCCCAAGTGCTATGATGTCAATTTATGACTCAACTCAACTCAGCAGTGTTTTTCAACTCTATTTCTTTAATATCCATGAAAAAGTCTCAACTGAGAAGTGTCCGAGCTGTTTGTCTTACTCTCGGAGATCATGCGATTATTCTCTGACTGCTTTCAGTTTATGTATACAGTTTTTTTCTGAGATCCCTAAAGGTCTTTGCTGATGCATTGAAGTGTGTGCGGTACTTTATTAATATCTTACCCCAGATGACATCACAGAAAAGTCCAGCATTTTAGAGGGTGGTAAGACTGGGTTTCCTGGCTTTCTGATGCTTTTAAGGACCCCAAAAAATCTAAAACTGGCTCTAACCCCAACCCACCTACGTCCCACGAGAGAGTGCAGCCTTGGTCCCATGAATGCTTGCAGCCTTGGTCCCACGACTGCATGCAGCCTATCTACCCCCCCCCCCCTGAAATATTAGATTGTCCCGTGACCTGTGGATTTTCCCTGTTTGGTGTAGGATATTAATAAAGCACCGTTTGTGCTTTGTGGGACACTTTCAGCAGACTGTCAGTCTCTATTTAGGAAGAGAAAGACCACATCAGATGGGATCAAACTCAGTGCAGCGAGGTCGATTATCTCTCCTTTAACTCTTTTGGTACCATTCAACTCATCGTATCTTCACTGGTTTAAACACAGACAGTATACTGTTCTGATTCTCATGTATCACAGGTAGTTGTTGCATTAACACCCTATGTTCTCCTTCTTCCTAATGTTCAGGGGCTGTAAACTCTGGTGCACAATTCTGGTTGTTCTCTGTTTCTGGACTTGATCTTGTTCCAGAAGTTGACATTTGTGTGCACATGTTTTACAGATTTGGCTTATTTCTATGCAGACTGTTGGTTCCTTGCCTCTCATGCAGATTTACTCTGACTTTGAAGGAAAAACCTTAATTATTACCTTTTACCTTTTACACGCTTGTTAGGGGGAGTGAGTATGTTATTACCCCCTCCCTCAAGGGGCCCTGGAGCCCACACAGATAACACTATATCCAAATATTAGTTTGGTTCCTTCTGCTGCAGTTCTACTATTTGTATTGATTTGGGCTCAAACGTTCATTGCTTTTTAAACTAATAAATATGTTAGACACAAAATATCCAAATTTGCGTGACATCTAGAGACTCTCTTGGCAGTGGTGAAACGTCACAAGCTAGCTTGGTTTGGGCACATGGTGAGACATGATTCGATTGCTAAGAATGTACTTCAAAGAACACTGGGTGGTTATCGAAGAAGAGTAGGAAAAAGAAGAATCTGGAATGACAACATCAAGAAATGATGACCCTAATGGGTCAAGGGTTATGATTTGTTAAATGGTTGCTTTTAGCTATTATTTCTCAAGATTGAAATAGTCAGAGTAATTACAGAGTGAAACTTCACCTTTTAACCATCATCTTTAAGATCATTTTCTAATCATCTGTCAAAATAAAGTACATATTAAAATTTAGACTAGGAGCATTGTAGAGGACAGTCTTACATCCCCCCTCCCTCTTTTTCCCACCACCGCTCATTATTATCAATGTAATTGTTTATAAAATTAAAATATAAGTAAAAGGATTATATACTTCCAGGGTTAGGATAGTGGATTGATCATCTAGCCTTCTCAGACAAGGGATGGAAAATGTAGAGAGGACCCCCTGTGTATACTGTGCAAATTGTATTTCTCTGTCTCTTTCCTCTTTTTTTTTTTTCTGTCTCTCTCACTCCCCCCCCCCCCCAGTAAATGGACAAAACTGAAATAAATGAAAATTAAAATTAAAATTACCCCCCCCCCCCCCCCCCACCCCCCACCCCCCCCCAGTCCATTAATTCGTTTAGGGAAAGGAGGCAGATGGTAAAGAATAAAGTCCCAAGAATGGAAAAAAAAAATAAAAAAAATAAAAAACATGCCAATTACTGAATTTTTATCTACCACTTTTGCGGTGTAAACAGGGGGTCTTTGAGCCTGAGGATTCAAGGCCGCATGGTTAGTGCTGTCGCTAAAACTGTACGGGCGAGGATTTTATTTTCCCCCTGTCAGAAAAAAATCCCCAGCCTTACCAAGGATTCGAACCTGGGTCTCGGTCCGAAGAATATTGCTTGTAAATTATTTTTTCTGTTACAGAAAACAGTGAAGAAGAACCTAATGGGCTGTCTCTACCATTTCAAGTCATTGTGAAATACAGGACTTTGGCAGGTTTGTGATCAGTAACTTGTGTACTAAAAAAATATAAAGACATAACAAACTGACTAGAAAATTCAATACAGGCTAAGAAAAAGACACACACAGATACAATTAAATGGACAAAACTGAAATAAATGAAATTAAAATTACCTAATATGAGAAAATAGGGACAGGAAAAGCAAATACAAAATGTCACATGAAAGAAGGAACAAGAAAAACTAGGGATGCACACACACACACAAAATTAGATAAAAGTATGCTGACGATAAAGGAGTCGCCGTGGCGTAGCAGCTGGATGCTCGCATATTGATCAGAAGGTCATGGGTTTGCTCCCTAGCAGAGCCAGACTTTAAAAAAAAAAGACCTTGTTTTCCCAGGTTGACCCAGCCTTAAGTGGGTACTGGGTGTAGTCCCGGAAAGTAAAGGCAACCAGCGTGATGCTGACCACATCACCCATCTTGTGCTGATCAGTCTATAAAAATGAAGGTCTAGCCCTATATGCCCTATACGCATGAAGATGTGACCCCCCCCCCCCCCCCCCCCCCCCCCACCCACCCCCCCCCCCCCCCCCCCCCCCCCCCCCCCCCCCCCCCCCCCCCCCCCCCCCCCACCCCCCCCCCCCCCCCCCCCCCCCCCCCCCCCCCCCCCCCCCCACCCCCACCCCCCCACCCCCCCCCCACCCCCCCCCCCCCCCCCCCCCCCCACCCCCCCCCCCCCACCCCCCCCCCCCCCCCCCCCCCCCCCCCCCCCCCCCCCCCCCCACCCCCCCCCCCCCCCCCCCCCCCCCCCCCCCCCCCCCCCCCCCCCCCCCCCCACCCCCCCCCACCCCCCCCCCCCCCCCCCCCCCCCCCCCCCCCCCCCCCCCCCCCCCCCCCCCCCCCCCCCCCCCCCCCCCCCCCCCCCCCCCCCCCCCCCCCCCCCCCCCCCCCCCCCCCCCCCCCCCCCCCCCCCCCCCCCCCCCCCTTTACTTGTTACACTTATGCTGACAGTTCATGCCTAGAGGTCTGAGTATGCTAAAGCTATTCCTGAGACAACTAGTTTGGTTGGAGAAGCATGATATTAAGACAGTAACATAAATGTCAATTTCTGCTTGGTGATCTTCTTCTTCGCTACGCAGATGACACAGTCCTCCTTTCAAACAGCGTAAAGGGAATAAAAAATTTAATAATGTCTGTCCAAAAGCACAGTGAAGATCAAAATCTGTTCTTGAATTTAAAGAAAACGAAAATGTCCACAGATAAAACTGGCTGTCACCCAAAAATAACAATAAATGATGAAAACAGCAATGGAGACTGTTTGACAGAAATTAAAAGGAGAATGGCCATAGCAATGCAAAGATTGAACAGTATTAAAAGTCTATGGTTAAGCACCAGCAAGGAGATCAAAATTAGAATTTTGAGAGCATGCATCTTCCCTGTGGCTACATACCGATGTGAGTCGTGGAGTCGTTGCAAACATGAATCTGGTGTTGATGTAAATCATCTGCCAGCCTTCTGTCTGGTTTCCCCAATATTCACAGTATAGTAGATGGTAGCATAAATTAAATTGAGAGATTCACACAAAAATACTTTAAAAAGCAAACAAAAAACTCCCTACCTAATTTATGTAATCTTCTTCTTCACTTCCTCTTTTACCGCTGTGGGTGTCGAGGGAGATATAAGGTTCTGTTTCTAGCTCTTCTGGCTGCCTCGACCATAGGCACATCATGCTGTTGTAGAGTTTCTCTGATGTTATCCTTCCATCTTGTTCTTGGTCTACCCCGTGCTCTACGTCCTTCTTCTCTTTCCATGTATGCTTTGTATGGTATGGAATTTATGTAATCACCTGCAACAAATACAACAATTGAAGTTGGAGATGTATTGCTTCTTGTGCTACCTGGATTATGATGATGATGGCTTTGTAGATTTTATTAAGAGTACTTTACCTATTTTATTGAGAGTACTTTACCCATTTTATTGAGAGTACTTTACCCATTTTATTGAGAGTACTTTACCCATTTTATTTAGAGTACTTTACCCATTTTATTTAGAGTACTTTACCCGTTTTATTGGGAGTACTTTACCAATTTTATTAAGAGTACTTTACCCATTGTATTGAGAGTACTTTACCCATTTTATTAAGAGTGGTCTACGCATTTTATTGGGAGTGCTGTAAATATTTTGTTAGGAGTTGTGTACACATTTTATTAGGAGTGATGTTATTATTTTATTAGGAGTGCTGTACAAATTTTTTAAAGAGTGTTCTACTCATTTTATTAGGAGTGCTGTACACATTTTATTCAGAGTGTTCTACTAATTTTATTAGGAGTGCTGTACACATTTTATTAGGAGTGCTGTACACATTTATTAGGAGTGCCATACACATTTTTTAAAGAGTGTTTTACTCATTTTATTAGGAGTGCCGTACACATTTTTTAAAGAGTGTTTTACTCATTTTATTAGGAGTGCCATACACATTTTTTAAAGAGTGTTTTACTCATTTTATTAGGAGTGCTGTACACATTTTATTAGGAGTGCTGTACACATTTATTAGGAGTGCCGTACACATTTTTTAAAGAGTGTTTTACTCATTTTATTAGGAGTGCTGTACACATTTTATTTGGAGTGCTGTACACATTTTATTTGGAGTGCTGTACACATTTTATTAGGAGTGCTGTACACATTTTATTAGGAGTGCTGTACACATTTTATTAGGAGTGCTGTACTCATTTTATCAGGAGTGCTGTACACATTTTATTAGGAGTGCTGTACACATTGTATTAGGAGTGCTGTACACATTTTATTTGGAGTGCTGTACACATTTTATTAGGAGTGCTGTACCCATTTTATTAAGAGTGCTGTACACATTTTATTAGGAGTGTTCTACTCATTTTATCAGGAGTGCTGTACACATTTTATTAGGAGTGCTGTACACATTTTATTAGGAGTGTTCTACTCATTTTATCAGGAGTGCTGTACACATTTTATTAGGAGTGCTGTACACATTTTATCAGGAGTGCTGTACACATTTTATTAGGAGTGCTGTACACATTTTATCAGGAGTGCTGTACACGTTTTTTAGGAGTACTGTACACATTTTATTAGGAGTGTTCTACTCATTTTATCAGGAGTGCTGTACACGTTTTATTAGGAGTGCTGTACACATTTTTAGGAGTGCTGTACACATTTTATTAGGAGTGCTGTACACATTTTATTAGGAGTGCTGTACACATTTTATTAGGAGTGCTGTACACATTTTATCAGGAGTGCTGTACACATTTTATTAGGAGTGCTGTACACATTTTATCAGGAGTGCTGTACACATTTTATCAGGAGTGCTGTACACATTTTATCAGGAGTGCTGTAAACATTTTATCAGGAGTGCTGTACACATTTTATCAGGAGTGCTGTACACATTTTATTAGGAGTGCTGTACACATTTTATCAGGAGTGCTGTACACATTTTATCAGGAGTGCTGTACACATTTTATCAGGAGTGCTGTACACATTTTATTAGGAGTGCTGTACACATTTTTAGGAGTGCTGTAAACATTTTATTAGGAGCGCATTACCCATTTGGGGTGATGAAATCACATGTGTAAGCAGTTTAGTCAGAATTAAATGCTAGCAGGTAACGTTTACACCGGAGAGGGTATCTCTGGATATTTTCCTTCTTGTTGCTTTGCTGTTGAAAGTATGCATATGTAACTATCATCATAGCATCAGCTCTTACAGTTTATGCATGACTGGTGAAAGCATGCAGCAAGCATTGTTTTCTTTATGTTATTACTGTTAAAAAGCTTTAATTGCTTGGTGAGACGTAATGTGAGTGGCATATTTGTAATAAATCATCATCAGGTGCCTTGCCGACTGGCGTGGGTGATCATGCCTCTCCACAATCTGCGATCTCCTACAGCATGTATCAGTTCGTGTGCTGACACACCTTCATGCCATGCAACAAGACTGTCAAGAATCTTTTCTCTTTGTCTTCCTCTATTCTTCCTTCCACAGATCTTTTCAGTGGTCTCAACAAGTTTCATTGTAATAAATATTAAACAGTAATAATAAATAGTAAAATAATACGTTTTTCGTTTACAGTGGAAAGTTTAAGCGGTGATTACAGCTGTTACATGCACATTTCACCACCAACTGGAGTGCTGTACATGTTTTATTTTGAGTGCTCTGCTATTTTAGTGGCATTAGTTTAGACTTTTTAATTCAGAATGCCGAATTTTTTTGATGTAATCTTCTACCCTCAGGTGCTGAAGTTGTAAGAGTTTGGACTTCAGAACGGAAAATCACAAAGGACAGGGCACAAGCAGAAGGAGGTGGGTAATGAAAAGGTCTAGTCAACAATAATAATAATCATGTAAAAAAAATTACAGATTTTTACACCAGGCGCGAATCGAGCACATGATGTTAGCCTCATATTTTTATAGACCAATCGGCATTTGCCCGATAATGTGGTCAGCTTCATCTTGGCCACCTTTACTTCCCAGGACATTACCTGGTACCCTTTTATGCTGGGAGCCAAGGTCAAAGTTTGCAAACAAAATCACCTCAGTGTGGATTTCCAACCCAATATCTTCAGGCCAGCAGATAAGCTTCTAGCCACTATGCTACTGTGGCTTCCATAGTCTTAAAAAAAAAAATTGCAGACAGTATTATAAAGTTATAAAGAAAAGTAGCTACAGAGGCAAATTAATTTATCTTTCTGACATACCAAGATAGTTGACTGTGTTCAGTCCAAAGCAAAGCATTGAGGGTTTTGAAATGTTAGTTTTAAAAGAGTTGCTGGTTGAAAGATTTAGAACACTGTGCTTCATAGGTAATTAACAGTTTTTTGGCAGTTTTAAGAAAACAAACTAAGTGAGCTTTGTGGATAGAGAATATAGACAAAGCAATCCTAGAACAACCAGTATAACATTGACTGCTGAAGGAAATGAACATGAGAAAGAGGAGGTACTTTTGCCTTATCAAGAAACATTGTAGTATACTGAAAAAGTCGCTATGTAAGTTCCAAGCCCATTTGGAGGGGGGGGGGGGGAAATTGACCCACTGCCCCCCCCCCCTCCCCCCGCCCTTACAAGCATGCCATTCAATTTGACTAATTAGGGGTGTATCTTGTGAAGTCAGTGTGCCTACAAATAAATCAGATCTGTAAAATGGATGTACTTGTTAAACCAACAGTTCTGGAACAAAACTAAAGTCCAGAAGTCGATGAACAACCAGAACTTTTCTGCAGGATTTTACAGCTAGTAAAAGTGAAGAAGAAGAAGAAAAAGAAGAAGACCCATATTTTTATGGACCAATCAGCTCTTGATAAGCAATAAAATTTAAATCTTACTGGGCTTGATTACTTCCTTTGACATTTCCTGGTGTCCTTTTTAGGTGAAGCAGCCTGGAAACATTAGGTGAAATTATAGGAATCTACCTTGAACTCCAGATTTTTGGCCTGGCAAGCAGACATCTGGCCACTCCCATATCACGGCTCCCATTTGAACCCCTAAATAAGGAATTACTTGAGGGCAAAAGTTCTAGATGTAATCAGGGATATAAAAGAATGAACAGGATGATTAGTCAGTTTACAGCCTAGTATAAAGTTCAGTAAAAGCTAATGACATACATTCTTCCTCTGCAGTTTATTGGCCTTTTAGTCTTTGTAGGCCAATTACTTCTAGTTGAGATGAGTTAAGAACTGACATCCCATCACTTGTGACATTTCGACTTCCGGTCAAAATGGACGCTAGGCAGAGGCATTGTTTGGAGCCGAAGCAAATTTTTTGCTTCTGCCGGATGGTGGCCAATGCATTTTTGCTCCATTTGTTGACTGGATATAGTTTCGTCGCCCAGCTTCTGAGTTGAATGCATGGCGTGACACTGTGAGCTGTGGATTTTATTTGGAATGTTTTTTTTTGACTGTGACCAAAGTGGTGGTGTGAATTGTTGATTCAGAAAATTGCGCGATGCCTGTCCTCTTAATGTTGGCAGTGCCAGTATGTGATTAAAATAATCGCGTGGGCAACTGCTGGTCTTTTGGTGACTTATGCTACCATCAATGATGAACTGCATTTCTAATGTCGGACTGTTTGTGTTAGCACTTTAGATGGCTACCATATGCTTTTAATGCGTGTGTACGCTAGATATGCTGATACAGCAGTCTGTCAATCTTTCCACAAGGGACTTGATAAACATTCTGTGTGTTTTTCGTTGGTACAGGAGTGGAGCAAAGATGGGGTGACGCGTTTGCTTTGAAGCTGAAACTACCAGATTACCAGACTACCATTTCAGTAAGGGCCTCTCCCTCATCCTCAGCAACTAGCAAGAGTTCCAGTTGTGATTGTACTCAGGGCTATTTTTTCCCTAGACAAATATGTGCCAGTACTCACCGCAAAGTGTCTAAAAAGGTGCCGGTACTCACAATGCAGTAGCTTTGAAACAATGATGCCTAACTACAGCTGCCGATAATTTGTGCTGCTGCATAGAACCAGAAAAAAAAAATGTCCTAGTTATACCTATAGCAGTCTGATTGTATGCCCTTCTTGCCTTTCCTCTAAATGTTGATTGTCAACCCTGGTCACTCCTTTGCACCAGTCTCTCCAGACTGTAATGATCTATCCATGCTTGCACATTGCTATCTGATATCAGCTTCTCATGAATCAGTACACCACCCAGTGATGCAGGACCAGCCAGACTATGTGCCTTTTCTTTTCCCTCCCTGCATGCCCTGGAAAAAAGATAAAAGGACGCTAAAAACCCTTTACATGTGAAGAGATGCTTGCCACTCTGCTGGAGTATGCCAATCTCCATCTTTCTCAGAATGCCTTGTGAGTCTGTTACAATAATTATTGTGTGTGCAGCTTGTTTTCATGCCAGTGAAAAGCTGCCCTGACTGCCTCCACCTCCATTTCCAACTAGATGTTGTGATGTCCTGTTAATTGAGGACATAAATGCATCATTGTCATAACCATTCCATTGTACAGTTTAGATGACACATAGGGCTTGCAGTTTCTTCCTCCATTACACTCTATCCTGTCAGTGTTTCCGTTATCACGGATGCAGTCCAGTCCAGTATCTTTGGCCTCTTTCTTTATCCATCTTTGTACAGTTACTCTTGGACATCCTCATTTTTTCAATCCGTGTGTTTTTTCATTAGGACCAAAATAGTTAAAGTTAAATATATCCCTGTGTGAGGGGCCTCATTGTGTATTTGTGTGTGTGTGTGTGTGTGTGTGGGGTGGGGGCTGGGGGATAGGCACATTCCCTGCTTACAAGCATGTCCTAAGAGTAAATGAATAAGGGATGTTTCCTTACAGGTCAGAGTGTGTCTGCCTGAGAGGTGAGAAACCAACAGTCTGCATAGCAATAAGCCAGATCTATAAAACGGATGTGCATGCAAAACTCAGGTTCTGGAACAAGTCTAAAGTCCAGAAGTGGATGAACAATGAGATATTTCTGCCAAAGTTTACAGCCGGTGAGTGCAAAGAAGAAGCTGAATATCAGTTACTGTCAACCATTATTGTAGAGATATCACTGGATTGTGATGATGACCCCATTTATAATCCTAAAATTTTGACAGTATATCTTCTTCTTCTTCTTCTGCATTTCACCGGAAGATGTAAATGCTTTGTGCCCGTTTACAGCATGGTTGTGATCTTTATGTTTTTTTGGTTGACACATCCTGCTTCAGCAGCCATTTGTTGACCTGGTTAGCCTTCCCAGTGATAGGATATTATTTTTTAACAATATACAATACATTATAATGGTCAGTTCTGTATTAAATGTCATGCATTTGCTTTTAACTTGCAGCCATGAATGCGAAAACAGTTATTGAAAACTTTCTGCAGCAGTCTTCCCAACAAATGCTGGATGAGATATTTGCCAAAAAAATGTTGGTAGAACAGGCTAATGCTTTTTCCAATTCAGGACAGGACCTCTTGAAAGATTATGGGTATGTATACGTTTCTATTGTAAGTAAAGTAAAAGGACCCTTTTCCACGCCTCTAGGCGTATAGGGCATATAGGGCTAGGCCTATATTTTTTTAGACCAATCGGCACAAGATGGGTGATGTGGTCAGCATCACGCCGGCCGCCTTTACTTTCCCGGGACTGCACCCGGTACCCACTCAAGGCTGAGTCAACCTAGGAGTCAAGGTCATTTTTGAAATAAGTCCCGCTCCGCCAGGGAGCGAACCCACGACCTTCCGATCCACGGTGAGCATCTAACCGCTCGACCACGGTGACTCCCCGTTTTCTATTGTGCTAACAATAAATTTTTTTTTGGAGGGGGGGGGGAAAGGGGGGGGGGTTGAGATTTGCTGTGTGACTTGTGACTTATGGTGGAATACAATTGATTTCTGTGGTGAGCTACAAGAAGGAAAATGCTGTCAGGGTGGACAGAAGAAACATTTTAAGGACAACCTCAAGACCTCACGGAAAGACTTCTGTATTGATCCTAAAACCTGGGAAGTCACGGCAAGTGACCGTTCATCCTGGCGCTCCTCTCTTCATCGAGGAGCTGTGGCCCATGCAGCTGCTGGAACTTCAGAAGCAATTCAGAAAAGACAAGCCAGGAAAGACATTGAAGCAAATCACCCGAGAGATGTGGCCTCAATTCCCTGTCCATATTTCTCAAGAACTTTCAGTACTAGAATTGGCCTCATCAGCCATCAGCGCACTCACAAAACCTAACCCAGACACCATTGGATGAAAGGACTGGTCATCATCACTTTTGATGGATGAAGAACATCAACAACAAAATTGCAGTTGATGATGTCTTTCAGTCCCAGACTAATGTTTGTTAGATACCTCCCATACTAAAGTTTGTGCACTTTACCTCCTGAGTTAAAAAAAAACACATTTATTTGGCAGATGAGTTAAAGTAACTAATGGAATACAGTGATTTACAGGAACAGAACTGAACAGAAAAGATCAGGAAATCATTCTGTGTGTAGAAAAATCAGTGAACATATAATAATTTGATTGATACTGAATGGATTTTTGGGGGAAAAAAACCAAGACACATAAACAGTTATGGGGTCATACAGGGAATTGGAATACAGAAGGAGCAAGGAGGACGAAGACATTATGAAACAAAACATACACACATGAGCGAGGGATGGGGGGATACAGAAGGAGCAAGATAAGGATGAAGACATTATGAAACAAAACATACACACATGAGCGGGGAGAGGGGGGGGTACAGAAGGAGCAAGATAAGGATGAAGACATTATGAAACAAAACATACACACATGAGAGGGGAGGGGGGGGGGGTACAGAAGGAGCAAGATAAGGATGAAGACATTATGAAACAAAACATATACACATGAGCGAGGGATGGGGGATACAGAAGGAGCAAGATAAGGATGAAGACATTATGAACAAAACATACACACATTGGCGATGGGGGGGGATACAGAAGGAGCAAGATAAGGATGAAGACATTATGAAACAAAACATACACACATGAGCGAGGGGGGGGGGATACAGAAGGAGCAAGATAAGGATGAAGACATTATGAAACAAAACATACACACATGAGCGAGGGATGGGGGATACAGAAGGAGCAAGATAAGGATGAAGACATTATGAAACAAAACATACACACATGAGCGAGGGATGGGGGATACAGAAGGAGCAAGATAAGGATGAAGACATTATGAAACAAAACATACACACATGAGCAAGGGGGGGGGGGGGGAAGGACAGATAAAGGAGCAAGACAAGGATGAAGACATTATGAAACAAAACATACACACATGAGCGAGGGGGGGGGGATACAGAAGGAGCAAGATAAGGATGAAGACATTATGAAACAAAACATACACACATGAGCGGGGAGGGGGGGGGGGATACAGAAGGAGCAAGATAAGGATGAAGACATTATGAAACAAAACATATACACACATGAGCGAGGGGGGGGGGAATACAGAAGGAGCAAGATAAGGATGAAGACATTATGAAACAAAACATACACACATGAGCGGGGGGGGGGGGATACAGAAGGAGCAAGATAAGGATGAAGACATTATGAAACAAAACATACACACATGAGCAAGGGGGGGGGGGATACAGAAGGAGCAAGATAAGGATGAAGACATTATGAAACAAAACATACACACATGAGCAGGGGGGGGGGGGAATACAGAAGGAGCAAGATAAGGATGAAGACATTATGAAACAAAACATACACACATGAGCGAGGGGGGGGGGATACAGAAGGAGCAAGATAAGGATGAAGACATTATGAAACAAAACATACACACATGAGCAAGGGGGGGGGGATACAGAAGGAGCAAGATAAGGATGAAGACATTATGAAAACAAAACATACA